GAGGTTGCAGTGAGCTGAGATTGTACCACTGCAGTCCAGCCTGGGTGACAGAGCAAAACTCTGTTTCAAACAAAAAAAGAAAAAGAAAAAAGTTTAATCTCTAGTTAGACACCCACCCCACTATCCACACACGTAAATATATACATATGTGTGGATAGATAAATAAACAGAATCCTGAGTGTCTACTATGCTACTATCCTTCAGATCTCAGTTTAGCTATCACTAGCATAGCACTAAGCATTTTATATACGCGTCTTATTTAACTCTCAAAACACACCCCATGAGATTGGTACTGTTCCTTTTTTCTTCTTTAGACATAGGGTCTCACTCTGTCACCCAGGCTGGAGTGCAGTGGCGCCATCTTGGCTCACTGCTGCCTTGACCTCCTGACTTTGAGAAAGCCTCCTGTCCTGCCTCAGCCTCCCAAAGTGCTGAGGTTACAGCCATGAGCCACAATGTCCAGCCTCTTCCCTTTTTGTAGATGAGAAAACTGAGGCAGTGCAGAGGCATGAAGCAATGTACTTAAGACTACACAGCTAGGAAACAGTAGCACTAGGATTTAAACCTTGTCTCACTGAGTTCAAGGATCTGAAGTTCTTAACCCTTGTGCTTCCAGACTCCATACGACAATAGGGAAGTGGTTCCGTCTCTTCACTCTTCCTTCCATGTGCTGTAGAGCCCTGGACAGCTCTGTTTTCTTCACTCACTTTCAACTTCTCTGCACAGAGACCATCAGATGGGGTCAGTGACTCATCCCAGAGGATTCCTGCTGGTGGCTCCTGTCTCTAGCCCAAGCCTGGGTCCAATTTCCTGCAGTGTTTCCTAGAACATTCAATAGAGATTGTCGTGGTATCTTAGAGGAAAGAACCTTGTTACCGGAAGTTGAAGAAGACGAAGACAGCCTGACACTGACATGATATCTTTTTTTTTTTTTCGAGACTGAGTCTCTCTGTTGCCTAGGCTGGAGTGAAGTGGTGCAATCTCAGCTCACTGCAACCTTCGCCTCCCGGGTTCAAGTGATTCTCTTGCCTCAGCCTCCCATATAGCCAGGACTACAGGTGCATGCCACCATGCCCAGTCAATTTTTTGTATTTTTAGTAGAGACGGGATTTCACCATGTTGACCAGGCTGGTCTCGAACTCCTGACCTCAGGTGATCCACCCACCTCAGCCTCCCAAAGTGCTGGGATTACAGGCGTGTCCCACCACGCCTGGCCAGCATGATATCTTTAAGCATGAAAATTTTTCAAATTTCCTGCTTTATTTTATTTTGTTAGAGACAGGGTCTCACTCTGTCACCCAGGCTAGAGTGTAATGGCACCATCGTAGTTCACTGCAGCCTTGAACTCCTGGGTTCAAGCAATCCTTTTGCCTCTCTCTGTCTGGCCCTGCATGGCATCCAGTGCCTCCTGCCTCTTGGAACTGTGACTAGTAAACTTCTTTCAATGACAGTGACTCTCTATACCACCAGTCACACCTATATATTAAATCCCAGGCACATTTTTAAACAACCTGCCTTATTAGTAAGAGGACTGGCTACTCCTTTTTGAGGCTTCCTCCTCTTAAATTGTCCAAGATTACCTGAGGTCAAGAGTTCGAGACCAACCTGGCCAACATGGTGAAGCCCTGTCTCTACTAAAAATACAAAAAAATTTGCTGGACATGGTGATGCGCACCTCTAGTCCCAGCTACTTGGGAGGCTGAGGCAGGAGAATCACTTGAACCTGGGAGGCGAAAGTTACAGTGAGCCGAGATTACACTACTGCACTCCAGCCTGGGCGACAGAGACAGACTTTGTCTCAAAAAAAAAAAAAAAACTTAGTTGGGCATGGTTGTGCATGCCTGTGGTCCCAGCTACTTGGGAGGCTGAGATGGGAGGATCACTTGAGCCTGGGAGGTTAAGGCTGTCGTGAAGAAAAAAAAAGAAGAAATAACTCTAAAATTTAATCTCTAGCTGGGCATGGTGGCTCACACTGTAATCCCAGCACTTTGGGAGGCCGAGGCTGGCAGATCATTTGAGGTCAGGAGTTAGAGACCAACCTGGCCAACATGGTGAAAGTCCGTCTCTAGTAAAAATGCAAAAAATTAGCGAGGCATGGTGGCGTGCACCTGTAATCCCAGCTACTCGGGAAGCTGAGGCAGGAGAATAGCTTGAATGCAGGAGGCAGAGGTTGCAGTGAGCTGAGATTGTACCACTGCAGTCCAGCCTGGGTGACAGAGCAAAACTCTGTTTCAAACAAAAAAAGAAAAAGAAAAAAGTTT